GAAAATTTTTAATTAAAAAAAAACCCCCCAAAATTCTATTTCTATTATTTACTCTTCCACTAAATAGACTGAAATCCTTAAGGGTAGGATCAGTGTATTAATTTTGGTATTGCCATTGACTAGCATAGTTCCTGGAACATAGCTGATAAACAGATTTTGAATAGTCAAAATTAAATATGAGTGAGCTTTCTTATTGATTTATTATTGACAAAATAAATCTTGGTACTATCCCTATTTTTATCACTTGTGAATTGTTCACATTCTTCTGTTGACTTCACTGAATTAACTCTTCTCTCATTTTCAATATACTCTCTGTCTTTTCCTCTTAACTAGTTATTTAAAGAAATGTTAGTCATGCCCGGCCGGGCGTGGCTCAGCGGTTGAACATCGACCTAGGATCCAGGCAATTGGGCTTCGATTCCCGGTCAGGGCACCTGCCCGGTTGCGGGCTCAATCAGTGACCCTCTCATCATTGATATTTCTATGTCTCTCTCTCCCTCTCCTTTCCTCTCTCTGAAATCAGTAAAGATATATTTAAAAAAAAAAAAGAAATGTTAGTCATCACAACTATTCTCTGAAGTAGGTGGTGTTTTTACTATTTATGGATAAGGAAATTGAGACTAAGAGGAATTAAATAACTTGCTCAGGTTTTCATAGCTGGAGTCAGAACTCGGTATTTTATATTATTAAATATAAATAAACCATATATAAATGTTGCTGTCTTTTGTGCTGGATATTTTTTGTCTGTCTCTCCAGATCCACTCTACTTTTCTCCATCCAGCTATATGTCCCAGGCGATTGACTTGTATAGACTGTGTCATTGGGGCTTTGACTTGTGACTTCATTGCTATGACCTATGAATCCAAATAAATAAGAGTGGAATTGAATCAGAATTCTAATACAGGTCACACTTAAACTTTAGAGCCTGCGTATGTAACATCCTCAAGAAAATTTTAAGCCAAAATTGCCATTACAACATTTACTATTTTCTAGTCCAATGTAAGCATTTAAAAACACAAAGTTTTAACATAAAATCCACTACTTTACCTATATTATAATATGCATATATATTATGTAAAATTTATTCCTGATGTATGTATGAGTTTCAAACAGATCAGTGGTCCACAAAACCCAGTATTCTTCTGACAGAAGCATCTACAGATTCTGGAAGAATAACATTGTGAGCCCTGACTGGTGTGGCTCAGTGGTTAGAATATTGGACCCCCCACCAAAGGGTCAAGGGTTCAATTCTCCGTCAAGGGCATGTACCTGGGTTCAGGTTCCACCCCCAGTGGGTGCAGGAATGCAACCAATTGGTGTGTCTCACATCAATGTTTTTTTTTCTCTCTCCCCCACTCTAAAAAGCAAAACAGAGAAAAAGAATAGTATTGTGAAATTGTTGTGGATATGCTAGATAACAAATGCTTGATATGTTTAAAGGGATAGTAGCTACCTTATTTTACTAAATAATGAGAAAATTTTTCCTTTGTGAAGTTCTCAGAGGAGCTTATTGCTACCATTTAAATTCAAATGTAAAGAAATGCCTTTACCTTTCAACCTACTGTTCATTACTTCAGTTCTTATGATGCAAACTCTTAGAACGGGCCTGAGATTGTTATTTAATATGGAAATAATATTTTTTTGAAAAGAAAGTATACATAATTTTACTCAACAGCCTGACTTTTAAAATGTAATAATTTGGTTTCGTTGACCTTAAACATTGTATCTGTTTTCTATAACCATCTCAGTTCATATGGCATTAATCTAGCTGGGTTCTCCAAATATATGACTGTCTGAAGCTTGATTTATATTTTTGCACTCTACCCAGCTGTAAAGCCGAAGGGGTGAAAATAGGGCTTTACAATTTAATCTTTGTTTCATACCAGAGTCAACAGTTTTTGATTCACATAGAGTCAGATTAACATGGATGAAAAGGATCTTAAAGGTTATCCTGGCCAACCACTTACCAAGTACTGCCTCCCTGTTAAGTGGTCCCTAAGTCTATTCCTTAAACCTCTACAGTGATTTAAACCCCCATAGCTGCTTGTAGAAGTGAGCGCCTTTCATATTTAACAGCTCTGATTTTGAGTTCTTCCATATGTTGTTTCTCTGTAGCTTTTTACTGAAAACTGCCTGGTTTTAATCCTCCTTCCTGATACCCTTTCTATATTTTAGAATTATTGAACATTTTGGAGACTACCAATTTATTAAACTATATCTAGGCTAACACTTTTTTTGTGCAGAATTCAGAATAAAGCTTCTGCTTTACTTCTTATGGATTGTTGATTAGGGAGATTGTTATGTACTGGTATTTTGGATTCAGACCTGTGCATGTTTGCTCAAGCAAAGTTATATAAGGCACATGTGTACACCCTGTTCAGTTAAATAACGTCAAAAAAGCCAAAGTATGTTTGTTCACACCCCCATTGCAGACACTGGCAGGTTTTGCAGTAACAAGTGAATAGGTAACTAACCTTGATGTTACTGTTTTATTAATAGTTTTGGGGTTTTGAGTTCCGTACATTTCTTCTGACTGCATTTATAAAAATAAAAGCAGTTGTTAGACAGTGTTAATGAGTTAGCTCTGAATAAAATGTTTTTGCTACCTTTATTAAACTTCTGGGTCAGTTTAAGTGAAGAATATCCTGAAATTGCAGTGCAAACATCTTATCTTTGTGAATCAGGATTTTCTTCATTCTTTGTAACCAAAACAAAATAATTAAGTTGCATGCTGAGGCCAATATGACTGAACTCTCCTCAATAACCTCTGATTTTTAAAAAAGGAAGTTTTAAACAGCCTTAGTATTCTAACACAGTTGATAAACTTTTTTCTAGGATTTAAGAATTTTATTGTTTGACTGCATATTTTTTTTGGCTCAAAACTCAAAGTACAAAAGATTAAAAAGTAAAAATATGTTAACTACTTGGTTCCCTCCCTCAGAGGTAACCACTATTATATGCTCATTCATTTTTAAAAAAAATCCTCACCCAAGGATATGTTTTTATTGATTTTATGGGAGGGGAGGAGAGAAAGAGAAACACTGATGTGAGAAGAGAAACATCCATTGGTTGCTTCTCATTTGCGCCCTGATCTGCAACCCAGATATGTGCTCTGATGGGGAATCTAACCTGTAACCCTTTGGTGCATGGACGGTTCTCCAGCCAACTGAGCCACACCAGCCACGGCCCAAGGATACGTTTTTATTGATTTTAGAGAGAAGAAATGGGGAAGAGAGAGGGAAACATTGATGTGAGAGAAACCAATCAGTTGTCTCTCCTGTGCGCCCAACCAGGGATGGTACCCACAACCTTTTCATGTGTGGGACAGTGCTTCAACCAGCTGAGCCACCCATCCAGCGCAATATGTTCATTCTTAATACTTTTCTCTTAAATGTAGAATCACCCTTCTCCTACCCCCATTTTATCCTCATTTAAGATTCTAAATATCAGCCCTGGCCAGTGTGGCTCAGTTGGTTGGGTGTTATACCGTGCACCAAAAGGTTGGTAGTTCGATCCCCAGTAGGTGTGCAGGAGGCAGCCGATTGATGTTTCTCTCTCACATCAATATTTCTCTCCCTCTCCTTTAAAAATCAGTAAACTAAACTAAAAAAAACACAACCACCCCTAAATATCATATTGTAATTATTTTATGAATTCCTGAGGGTAATGAGTCCCTAAAAAATAATACTTTAGTTTAATTGGGAACAATATATAGCAAGTACTTGATTGATTTTTCTTTTTACCAACTAATATTTCTCTAGCTACTACACTGTGCTGGAGGAATATAGATACTGGAGGCATGTATAAATAAATTACAGTGCAGTGATATGTGCAACAGTAGAATTAGAAGCTTACAGTGGAATACTTAATGCTATTTTCTGTGAAGGACTGACAAGTATTCCTGGTAGACATGGGTTTTGAAACTAGGTTTTGAAAACTGAAGAGGAGCTCACCGGGCAGAATGGGTTGGAGAAAGCATTACAGAGGAGGATGAATAAAATATACAAAGGCAGAAGCAATTAATGGTCTAGTATGCTGAATGAACAATAGGAATAACAATTATTGGGAAGTGTGATAGGAGCTGGGACTAGACAAGTAGGTATTTTATGAAAGACTTTTTCCCCTGGAAACAAAAGGGGAAACATTTTCCCTCAATCTTTCTTAAATATGAGGTATGGATCTATATTATTTTAGATGCATGCAAAATAAAATATTTAATTAAAATTGCTTTTACATGGGTATAAGCTTTGGATGAAGCTTGAGCCAAGCCAGCATTTTGAGATGTTAAGGTACTTTAAAAATATAACTTTTAGAAGCTACTTGAATACTCATTTGAATGGATTTGAGGTAACAGGACTCTATGTAACTTTTAAAGATATTGTTGGTAATTTTGTATATGTTTTACTAAACCTTGGTAATTGGCCTGAATGGCACTATTATGTATTCTTTTAAGACCCCAAAATTATCTTATGTAGATGTGGTGCTAGCAACCATTTTTACGTAGACAGAAAAATGTAGAATGGTAAAATGCTGAAATCTGACTTTTATTCATATGGACCTAATCATATGGACCTTGGCAGTACAGTAGAAAATTTCTGCATGTAATAATTGCCATTTTAATTTTGGCATAGAAAGTCTTTGGATATGATAGTTTCTAGTATACGAAAAGAGCAACATCTATTTGAAGAAATTGCGTGGAATGGTTACAGAAGTGCCTGTAACTGTTGATGGTATTAAAAATACTGATTATTTTGCCTATTGAAGTGGTACTATTTCCACTTGAAAGAAGGGAGTAATATGGAAATCAAGAATAGTTTATTTGGGTATGCGTATGGGTGGGTTGCAGGCATGAAGCAGGTATTTTACTATAGAATATAGATAGATATGTTATCTTCTGGTTTCCCCCTTCCCCTTAGATACCTTGATTTTAATTTTTATCAAGTCTGTCTGTCTGGCCTTTGCCGCTGTGGCCCATTGATCTGTCCATCTGTCTGTTACAGTGCATATTGGGTACTTCCAGAAGTATGAATTCAGTGATGCAAAGGACAGGCGGGCTGCAGCAGCAAAGGTAGGACAGAATCATTCCAAAGACAAGTCACTAAAGGACCATTAAACATATATGCGCGTACATATATTGGCAGCAAGTACCTTATTTTACACTGTTTGTCCCATAAATCTTTATGGAAAGCCTGTTCTGAAATGACAAGTGTAATGTGTATTTTTAAAGGACATGGTTTTATTATTTTTTAAACCAGAAGCTATTTTTGTACTTGGGCAACAAAATAAATTGGTGTTTGCCACTTTTTTTTTAAGCGGAATAATAGAAAAAAATGCTTAAATGTAGGATATTAATGGTATTTGCTCAGTTCATGGACTTGGCTGATTTCAGAAACTATGGTGACAGAAGATCCCATTTGTTATAAAACTGTGGGAGGAGAAAAAGCAGGAAAGATAGATTGATATGCCTATGTGTGTATATTTATATATTAATATTTTTATATATTTGATTCTGAAATACTTTGATGGATATAATCTAAAATTTCACAGTTGCTTTTTAACTAACTTGTATGAGGAAGCTCAAGAATTTCTATTTAAATATTTATACTATTTCCTTAGATACTTGTATTTGTTTACTTGCTTAGTGATGGAGATTATAATAGCAGTTCCTGGCTGCTTGCTTGCTTTTTTTTTGGTTAATCATCACCTGAAAATATTTTTTCCATTGATTTTTAGAGAGAGTGGAAGGGATGGAGGAAGGGAGAGAGAGAAACATCCGTGTGAGAGACACATCGATTGGTTGCCTCCTGCACATGCCCGACTGGGCCGGGGATCTAACCTGCAACCTAGGTATGTGCCCTTGACTGGGAATCAAACTCCCCCTACCCTTTGGTGTGCCAACCCATGTGCTAACCACTATGCAACATTGGCAGGGGCTCTTTTTTTTTTTAAATGCTAGGTTAGAATGAGAGCAGTAGCATTTTTATGCTGAATCCTAAGACCTAAGTCACAGGCAAGTTTTAAGAGTTTAGGCAATACAGTGCAAACATTTGAAGAAAACGGAATGGAAGGCTTGTATATAAGTTGTGAAATGCTAGGTTGCTTATTTATATTACTCTAGTATTGGTTGCAAAGTGAGGGATTATGGATAGCTGAATGATACAGAAGTTTGCATCATTTTTTTTGCTGTTAGACTTGTAAAAGGAAGGGGCTTTGTTTTTTCAAATAAGTTAATACAGTGCTTCTCAAGAATTCCCAAATGAAAAGACAGATAAAAGTTTGTATTTGGTTTTCATTGAAGATTGCTGGGTTTTCAGAATGACTGTAAGACCTAAGATCTTAAGTATCCACAGCCTAAATTCTGTCCCAAAAGGCTGATGTTAGTAGTTAACACTTTAAAGGGCTTTTTTTTTTATTGATTTTTTTTTAATAGAGAGAGGGAGAAAGAAACATCTATCAGCTGCCTCCTGCATGCTTTCTACGGGGGATTGAGCCTGCAACCCAGGCATGTGCCCTGACCGGGAATCAAACTGGCAACCTTTCTGTGGACAGAACAGTGCCCAACCATCTGAGTCACAGCTGCCAGGGCAGTAGTTAACACTTTAATAAACTATATACTACATTGAGGCAATTTAGTCTACTATCTCTTTTTTTAGAGAGAATGCAAGGGGGAGGGGAAGCAAGAAGTATCTGTTGGTTGCCTCCCTCACGCTCCTCGACCAGGGCCAGGGATCGAATATGCAACCCAAGTACGTGCCCTTGATGGGGAATTGAACCCGCAACCCTTCCGTGCACAGGCTGATGCTCTAACCACTGAGCACACAGGCCACAGCTAGTCTACTGTCTCTTGAATGTGGAAACATTTTGAATTCAAGTTTCTTGGTATACCATAATAGAGGTATTTTGATTCAGTAGCATTAAAACGATGTTTTGGTATGTTTTAAGATGGCTCCCTTTCCGTCCTGGAAATCTTTTTGGTAAACTTGTTTTACTTTCCTATTTCATATTTAGCACCTTCTTCCAAATGTATTTTAAGTGTTTCACGGTTTAAATAGACCATAATTCATTTTTTACCTTTTGTAGTGTGACAGTATTAAAATGAATAATTTTCATGAATCTATAATTATTCAGAATTGTCAGATCTGGCAGTCCAACTCAATATAAGGCAAAATAGTTCTGAATTTTAGAGCCCTACCTTTGTTCTAATGTTGACATTTCAATATTTAGTTTCTTCTTAAAATGCATGTTGGTGGTACCTTTATAAAATTTGGTTAATATGGGAACTGTTTAACTGGATCGTAAATCATTGCTAAGATTTGATTTCTTAAAAGTATGCTTCCTTACATCAATAAAAAAATCTACAACCAAAATTATTTGTTTATTTATTTTTATTTTTTTAAAAAAAATAAATCATTATTGATTTCAGAGAGAGGAAAGGAGAGGGGGAGAGAGAGAAACATCAGTGATGCGAGTCATTGATCAGCTGCCTCCTGCACGCCCCCGACTGGGGATCGAGCCCGCAACCCGGGCATGTGCCCTGACTGGGAATTGAACCCCGATTGCCTGGATCCTAGGTCGATGCTCATCCGCTGAGCCACGCTTGGCCAGACATATTTTAAAAGAAAAATGAGTTATATTTGTGCTCTTTCCCAATTCCTGCTCTAATTCCACTTTACTCTGCAAATTGCTGTTTTCTGTCCTTCAACAGTATACTGTTGATTTAACAATTGTACAGTATTTTCTCATATGACTATGTAAGTTTAACATTTTCCCTATTGTTGGACATTTTGTTCGTTCTGTATTGTGTGTCTCCTTTCCCTTCCTTTTCTTTTCTAGACCAAACCTAATTTTGGAAGTGGGCTTGCTAGGGTTTGGGTATAGACATTTATGGTTTTTATTAAAAAAACTGGTTGTTTTCAAAAAAGGCTATTGAGTTTTATCTTTACACCAACATTGTGTAAACTATCATTTTCTCTATACCTTTACTGTCACTATTAACAATCTTAAGTTTTTCATTAGTCTGATATAGAAAAAAAATATTATTGGTGGTTTTACCAGTTCTCTGAATTGCCTTTTCAAATTCTGTATCTTTTCTTAATGCTCTCTTAATGTATGATAATTATGGTTGCTCTTTCCTCCAATCTGTTTTTGATTTTTAGGTTTTTGGGTTTTTTTAGAGGGAAGGGAGGGGGAGAGAGAGAGGAACATCAATCAGTTACCTCCCTGTACATTCTCCCACTGTGGATGGAACCTACAACCTAGGCATGTTCCCTGACTGGGAATTGAACCAGCATCCAACCCTTCAGTGCATGGGAAGACGCTCCAACCAACTGAGCCACACCGGCCAGGGCTGGTATTTGTTTTTTAAAAAGAGAGTAATACATGTATGTGGTAACAAATGAAAAAGAGCTATTATGTCTTCAAATGATTACATTCATTGCTTTAATATACCTTTTTTTTAATCACCTTTTGACAGGATCTTTTTCCTCTTTCTTATTTCACCTTTGAAATTCCCACTTTATGTCAGCTCTGTTTTTGTTATCAAAGTCCTTTTGCCTTGTGATCATATAGTCAGGTCTTAATTTGCTCATAGCTTAGTGTTTAAAAGTGACACTATTGAACAATGTGTTTTGGATTATAATATCATTCAATGACAGTCCAAGTACTATATTAGGATTTTTGTTATTTTTGTAATAGTTAAGAGATTTTATTCTAATAGCTATAATTACAGTGCTTGTTTGTTGAAATAAAGACTGAAAACAAATATACAAAACAATTGATTACTAATCATGTATTAAAAGCTGTAAGAGGTTCCGTGACACCAGATAAACCAGTTCTGAGGTTTTCCCCAAAATAAATTTTAACAGCTCCACCTTCTTCAGTGTTTATCAAAATACAAAAGAAAAAAGTAGAGATGATTGTTTTGATGTCATATCTGACCCTTGCAGGCTGAGGTAATGAAAGCACATGTGGACAGAGGTTCTGAGGAGCTAGGCTCTAAGATGACCAGCCACCTGTCCGTACTACTGGAGCAAGTGAGCACGTGTGGGGACTTTGGGGGGCTCCCATTCTGGCCAGAGGGGTTCCACCAAAGTACCTACACTGACCCAAGGGAAGGCTGGGATCCTTCCAAGGAGCCTGTGAGTGTTGGACGCAGCCCCCAGCCCATCCCTTGGGCAGTGGTGTGAGCACAGGTACAAGTACAGATACTGTGGGATGCAAATGACCCAGAGAGAGAGAGCGAATTGGGGACCTTAAGTGACCATGTGGAATGTATTGTGGGTGGTTCTGCCCACCACACACTCCAGGTGGGAGACAGACCACAGGTAGGCTGGACTCAAGCCATTACTGCAGAACCTACACTAGGCATATTTCTCCCTTCTCTCTGTTCAGGTGTTTCCTTAGTTTGTATTTGTAACTATTTTTAAAAATACACTGAGCTTGGGTTAAAATCCAACCATCAAAATGTATCTCAACATAGATCTAAAGCCCAGAGGAAGAGTATTGAGTTCATCTGACAGGGACTCCTAGGGGCCCTAGGTGCCTAAAATCCTTTCTCAGTACTAAACAGTAAGTTGATTCTCTTTTTACAATTAAAAAAAAACTGAGTGATATTGCATAGGAGTACCAGAAACCGCCTCATTGGAAACAATAGCTATTTACATTAAATAAAAACCCATTCACAAGCTGTGTCTGCACATGTACAGCATGATGAAGCACACAGGGACTGACCATGGAGACAGCTTCTAGCACTCACACCACAGGGGCACATCTGCCACATGAGAGGAAATCAAGGGTGAGGGAGGAGAGAGGAGTGCGGCTCACTTCTGGTTCCGGAGCTGATTGGACAGCCAGTCCAGTCCCTCATAGAGGCCATCCCCACTGGTGACCTGAATGTACCAGTTCCTGTGACGCAGAGTGCAGGCCCAGCTTGTCAGCGATCTTGGCCATATTCATGGCGTTGGGGAAGTCCTGCTTGTTTGCGCACACCAGCAAGACAGCATCCCTGAGCTCATCCTCCACCAGCATCTATACAACCTCCTCTTGGGCCTCATTCAAGCGCTCTCTTGG